TTTTCTGCCAAACTTGTTTTTCAATTTCAACCACAGATATTTTACCATAGACCTAGCCCACCCTCGCTCCACGCAAAGCTAATGGTGTTTAGGAGCCACTGATAGAGTGACAACAGGCCAGAAAATACGCAACGGAAATTCGGAAGGAAAGTGTATTAAATAACAAGAAGTTAATGAAGCGTGAGCCAAAGCATTGACAGCAACACCAGGAGGCCAGTGTAAACAGTTAGGAGGCAACAGGAAACCACAACAAAGTCAGGCACAGGCGAATAAAAAACATTCAAGTAGCAGCCAAGTTATTTATTACTCATATTCGCGCCTACACTTTGGGATCCTTTTGTTTCATTTTGGTATGCCCTGTAACTATGATCAAACAAATCGGGTGTTTTTTCACACGGTTTTCAAATAATATTATTCCAAGATAATAATCATAGTTATTTGATTTCAAATTACTTATCGCCTGAAGCTCGTAATTTGGCAAATTGTTATTAATAAGATGTAAAGGATTTTAGCAAGGCTTCTTGGATTATTCTCGCGAAAACAGGGCATATCGCAGCCTGTCACCTTAGGGCTTTACATATCTGCTCCTCTCTATTGTTACATTTTATAGAAGGAAAATGCGCAGCTGTTGTTTTTAAATTGTACTCCTTGTTGCCTGCGGTTTTGTCAGCTCGTTGTGACTGTTCATGTTACCGACTGTTCCTATACCGTGCTCCTTCCTTATGTAAGTCCGCTTTGTTGTTGTTGTTGTTGGTTTTGGGCATTGTCTGTGGAGGTTGCGTTGTGCCATTGTTTCTGACACTTGGCTCTAAGCGGCTGCTTCAGCGCTTAAAATGCCACGAATTGTGCATGTCTTCTTCTTAATTCTATTTCTTTTTTTGTTGTTTATTTTTTGTTGCGGCAGCGGTTTTGCCGCAAGATCCTTGTCAGCAGTTTTCCCCCGTTTTGTTAAACGGAAAATTAATAGAGTACACTTACTCTAAGGAAACAATGTGGGTTCTTTGGTTGTTCAAAAATAAATTGAATAAAAGTATAATTAAAAAGAAAATAATATTATTTTTAAGTAAAATCCATACTTCTGGTAAGTAAAGTAATTTATTATAATTTTAATTTTAAGTAATTTAAAATTATCCTTAGAATAAAAAGAAAATATAATTTTTAAAATGTACTTTAAAAAATTTTAGTTTGAGACGTACGTTATTTTAAAAACATGATTCTTTAATATTTGTATAATAAATATGCATTTTTTTTTAATTAAAATATAAAATGTAAAAATTCTGCTGAAAAACATTTTATCGAGGTGAATATTATTTTTTAGACAGAGCAAAATAGACGAAAATAAATTATTTGTTATTATATATAATGATAATGAGAATGCTAATAATGTACAAATAAGTCAAACATACATATTCACAAAAACAATTGAATTTATTAATTTTATTAATAATTAATAATTAAATAAAATTAAATTAATAATATACTACAAAATGAGATGGTTTATGAAGAAAAAATATATTTCAGAAATTTGAGCCGTAATGTGGCCAAAAATATCAACAAATTCAAATATTTCAAAATTAATGTAACTTTAAATAATCAAACTGAAATTTCTCATATAAAATATTATATTTCATGAAAAGCTGATAAAATGAATAAAATTAAGTTATGATTAATTATTTCCCAATAGTTTAAAAAAATCTATATTACCTAATAAAAATGTATGAATAATTCCCATTAGAGTTTAGATTCTAATAAATAATAATTGAAATAGAAAATATGAAAAATATCAATAAACTCATATTAAATATAATTCCAAGTGAACACTGTTAGAGGATATTTGTGTGTGCAATTTGAAATCAAATTATTGCTTATTTTCTTCTACTAAACAACAAATTTTAAATATGAAAATAGCAATAAAATATAGGCAGCTAAAATTGTATTCAAATTGTATTAAGCCTGAATTTAATTCCAAAACTAGTTGACTTGAAATTGAATTGAATTCGTATGAAAAGTTAACAGTCAGGAGCAGCACACACAAACACACGCGCACATATATATATATATATATATCAGCTGAGCCAGGCACGCTCTATCCACAACTACCGTCCGCCCACTTTATGCTATTCGTGGAGCTGCCTCTTTTATTTATTGACTGTTAAACTTTTCATTAGCCATTTCGTTTAATTCGCACACAATATCAAAGATTCAAAGGCAAAGGCAAACAGAGCGTCGGCAGAGCAAAAGCAAAGGCCAACTGAAAAAAAAATACCGCAATGGCGACAACGAATGGAAAAGCACAAGGAACAACAACAAGAACATCGACAACGACAACCAACGGCACTAAGTATAATGTATTTGTGTTGAAAGCAACCACAGCAGAAACTTTATTGCCTGTGTGCGTTTGTGTGTGTGTGTGTCCCTGTGTGTGTGCGCTTTACCACAGATACAATCAGAGCGCAATTGTCTGCGTTGATGAGCGAAGCAATGGAGCGCCCATCATGTATGCCATTTGCCCCCGCCTTCCCCTCCAGCCAACAACATAACCGCCCATTCACTGTGCTTTTTTATGACAAAAGAGAGCACCACGTAATCACAATGATAAGAATCACGCATCCCAACACAGACTTACTGACAGCTACATTCCGAATGACAAAAACCAGAATTATTTTCGTACGAGCAAAAAAAGAATGAATTATGTTCGTATGATGATTAAGTGAAAGTTGGCAAACTAAACAGAAAAAAAAGACAATGAAGACTAAATACGCTTTCTCTGCGTTAAAATACTTTAAAATGAAAGAAACTATAGAACCCCAAAGTTTACGATTTGTTCTGAAGACTTCTCTTAATAAAATCTGTTTAACATAACCTTACGACTTGTATTAAATATATTTAGAAAAATAAAATTTAAATATAACGACATAATTTAATTGTTAAGTTTATTTACCCAATGATATATACATTAGATAAGAATTAATTGTTTCATGAAACTTTTCTAAACCTTTTGATTTTGGATAAATGCTGTTAAAACCAACTGCTATCTTCCGCCAAGTTCCATTTACAGCACTTTCTGCACTTAGCACTTCAAATAGTACTACATAGTAACTGTCTAAAAAGTAATTCCATTTTTAGTCATAGCATAATAACGATCGATTTTAAATATAATTTTTAATTCTACTTATAATCAAACTGGCATCATATGGTTGCTTACTTATAATCTTGTATATGTCTAGGATATTTTTGATAAGACTTTATATATAGTCAACCATTCTATATACATATATGTTATTTGCATAGTGCCGAACATCGAGTAATCTAAGAATTATAGATTGATAGAAAAAAACAAATAAATAGAGAACACGCTACTCATCCTGCCAAATACAATGCCTGCCACTTTTTAAGACAAAACTATAATACCCTTTTGTAAGGGCATGACAAGTCCCACAAATTGTCTGTGCCCTTGCTTTAGCTTAAAGCGAAAACTTTTATTCAATGCGAAACTTTTACAAATAGCAAACAACATTTAGCGAAATATATACACACAAATACAAATATAAAGTAAGTATGTGTGTGTGTGTGTTTGCAGTATTTGTGCTAAAAACATCTGTGATGTGACAGCATGATGCCAAGCAGCCAGGCAAAGAGCCGGGCAGCTCTGACCCGTATAAGTATGCTACAAAAGCTTGCAGCTCACCTCCTTCCGTTGTGCTTCTGTGTAGAAGCCAGAAGTCCCAGACACGTCGTCATGCCGTGCGCACACACACATGCACACAGACGCACACTATGCAGTCGCAGAGTTGTGCACAATACTTAAACAAACATTCGAGTAGTGTGACATATACATATTGCAGCACTTACCCCCACCCCACGACCGGAACCCACATAGTACTTAGTTGCCCACCATGCTCCACTTGGACCGGAATAGAACGCAACGTGAAGCGATTTCCATGTGTAAATCAATATAACAATATAAATATATGCTATATGCGAGTTGAGTAAAGCCATTCCTACATTAAGCCTAAGCTAAAGCATTTCCCCCGAACAAACTCCATAAAGACTCCAGCTGTGCACCTATTTCTAAGCTGCATTTTTATACTTACGTCCGAACGAGTATATTGGTTTCTTAACTTGCACAAAAACCACTTTCGATAAGTAACACAGGAAATTTCACATTTGGTCAGGTCAAAAGACGTGAATATGGAACATTTATTTGTATATTTTGATACTTAATTTCGAAGATATATCCAATTTTCTTTCAGACAATTAATATGGACTTGATGTTTAACTAATGATCATCTTGATTAGATCTTTTAGTTCTTATACCAAGCCCAATGTATGAATATCTACTTTGATCAGCTATTACACAACCTGCGAACTGAACATTTTACACTCAAAACTGTTGCGATATTATTTCACGTTAAATATGTCTATTTTACGGCTGCATAAAAAGTGAAATTTATTTCTGAATTCATTCCCCTTGTTTTTACAATTTGTGGTTAGTTTTGCTGGCAGCATCACTTTTTAATGTCCTCTCAATTGGAAATAAAAAACCCAAATACACGCAAATCAATGTAGTTAATTTTCCACCGCGGTCTGCCAAAATATTTACCAATGGCATCTACATTGATAGCAATAAAAAATTAATTTGGTTTATGTAATTAAATGTGGTTAAGCCTATTTAAATTATTTGCACCTCTTTAAGGTCGCACAAAAGTATCAAAAATATTAATTTTCTATCGTAAACGAAGCTCTTGCGCGTTTTTGTCCCAGAAAAAACTTAAAACTAACTGAAAGATGAAAGTTTACCCTACCACAAAAGTGAGCTACTCTTTCTGAATGGGAGTTAACGAAATATATTAATATTTCTTACAGTTTGGGCAATATGAGCTTACACTATAGATATGTTTCGCGAGGATAAAAATCATATATTTGGATAATAATATCTAAACATTTTTTAGCAAATGTTTTCAATATGATATAAAGGGATATTAAGATATTGTACTCACCTAATGCCGCCCACATTTAATATAATCCGATTTTCGCCATCCATGTTGCATGCAACAGTTGTGGTAACAGCAGCCGCATGCCCAAATTAATTTCAATTAGCCACTCACTATTTTAAGTTTATCAATGCGAATTCACAAATCGATCAAAAATGCAACACTTAAACAAATTGTAATTTTAATGTTAATTTGTTATTATTTTCTTTTACTTTATGTTTAAATTCACTTTATTAAACCATTGCACTACACAAAAACACAACGCGAAATGCTTTTTAATTAGGGCGAAGGCCAGAATAACTCATCCACGTCCTTTGGTTTGCTTTGCATATCCTTTTGGTGCTTTGACTGCAAAGGGAATGAAATAGTTGGTTGTGGCGTTAGTTGTGGTTCTTAAAGTCAAGTAAAGTAATTCGTTAACCGAAATTGGGTTATAATCAAAAGTAATGTGTGTAAAATATGTAGGTCATAAGCTCGATGCAGTAGGCAATAATTTTCAATGTGTTTAAACATCACAGAGAGATACTTTCAAATTGAAACTTATATTGATATTTATCGCATAAAAGGACATCGCATGAGGACATGGTCATTAAATACTTATTAATGAATAAGAATTTCGTTTTCATTTCGTTTTTAAAAATATTTATGAAAGTACTGATTGTTTTGGTTGAAGCCAAAAAAATCGATACTGTTCGACATTTTGATCTAGATTTAATTTCGAAAATTTTGTAGCATACTTTAAGGAATCTGTAAAATTAATAAGAATCTAAAAACTAAGAGACGCATATTTCTTCGTTATAGTAGTTGTAGAAAAAACCATTAAAATGTTTTCAAGAATTTCTTATTGTCGACCTTTATTTATATTTTTCTGTATAAAAAAACTAATTGCCTTATTCCATAATTTTTTTCAAAAGCGTTAATATTTGAGCGTATTAATATTTGAGATATTTAAAAGTATACTTAAATTTATTAAATTTAATATACACAGAATTAAAATGCTAGTAATTGAAATAAAATACCCCAAGCATGAAATATAAATACCAATTAACTGTTTTTAAATTAGTAATTAAAATGCTTTAATTGCCTCTTTCCATATTTCTTACCCCAAGTTAGAGAAGATTGCGTGCCATTTTTCTTGTGACACGATATCGTGTAATAATACAAATACGAAAATTAAGACTAAAACAATACCATGAACGAAAAGAAAATATATTTATAGTAAATATTGTTTCCAAATGACATAATAATATTATAAAAAAAATTTATTTTAGCATACAATTTTAAAACACACATACTAAGTAAAATATGTTTCATTTTGGAAAAATTATAATTTCATTATTGTAAGAAAAATATAATTATAGATAAATGTTAAGATAATGTTATTGTCGTGTTTTAAACGTGCACATTTTTTATGCTTAGGTCCACTCTTGTGTATAGTCCCCCAGCTCCGACAGCAACTGTGGAGAACAGTGCGGGTGTTATAAATTCAATAAGCAGGAAAGAAAAGTCGCATGAATTCGACTTCGACATTCCATTAATTTAATATGTACAAGAGGGTATTGTCAGATTGTCAGAATCAAATATATAATAACATGAGATCCATCACAAATATGTAAATATGACAGCTGCTTCGGCAGAGCCCCCCATTTTGTTTGGGGCAAATTTGAAAGAAATTCTTCAGTCAACCCACATTAAACATGAGCGCTTGCTTTGTGGGGAATGAGGAAAAACTTTTGTTGCTTCAGATTGTGCTGATTGATAGTCAAAGAAATGGGAAAAAATTGTGGTATCAAATAAATAGCACGCGCCCTTAGATGCAAAAGTGACAAATGCTTCTTTGAAAGACAAAAAGAAAAATTGTTTCACTTTCCACGGTCAAAGTTTGGATTTTCGCGTAATTTGAAATAATAAATAGTTGTATAAGACATAATTTATGTGTTTTGCGTGATTGTGACAGAAATTTATTCAAATTGCATTGCGAATTTGATTTTTTTCTGTCAATAACAAAACAGTTTTTTATAAGGAAAACAGTTTTTGAAAGTCAATTGCCAAATATTGCCGAATATTTTAAGAATCATTTTCCTAGTATAATACATTTCTGCCGGTGCTAAGTTCTTTAATGCAGAAGCTTTGAATAGATTAGAGTTCAGAATATTATATTTTTAAAGTATAAGGAACTACACGGAGCATTTTCTGATAATATCTAATCCCTCTCAAGTAAACATTTTATTGCGATTATAGGAAAAAATAATGCAACAACTTTGTATAAAAAGAGCCAGAGGTATATACGCCAAACTTCGATATAGTGTTAATAAACAATCTAAATTTCTATAACATAAAAAATTAAATAAATATATTAAATCGAACTCAACCTTCGCAACTTAATCAAAAGACATGAAAATGTCCATAGCAGAGACATGGCCATAAAACCAAAGCCAATCAGTTTATCAGTCGATATCAGACGACAGCAAAGAATCATTACCTAAACTTTTGAAAATCACATAGAAAGGTATGCGAATAAGTACGAGAGGGCCACCAAGGGATAAAGTGGGTGAGGGAGAGAGAGAAAATAGATGGAGAGATATAGAGAGGGAGAGGCGGGGGGAGAGAGAGAGAGAAAAGGAGGATAGAATAAAACTGCTTGCTGCCTCCAATTGAAAAAAAAAATTGGCTTAGTGTGGGGTCAAGATCTTGATGAAAACTGTAAAACCAAGAGAATTAATTTAAGAAAATTGCACAGCTGTGCAGAATAAGTAAAAAAAGCTTCTATCAACAGCTTTCCACTCACGCACAATACACACACGTATATACATATAAATTTATATACCGGTAGGAATATATCACGTCGTTGAGGCATTTTTATGGCCAGCAGTCGAATGGGCATCGTTGCCACTTGCAGGGCATTTAACGATGATATTTTATTTTCTTTTTTTTTTTCTTTATTCCTACCACTTTGCATGGTATGCAAATTTTTTACTTGGCCGCACTTTTGCGCATTCTGGTAATAGCATTGAGGCCAAATTTAGGCACCAGGCCATGTGCTCGCTGTCAAAATAACAAAATGCTGGTTAAGTGCGGTGAGTTGACGACAAAGTCTGTGAAAAGGTCCATTCAGTTGAAGGTTAATCAACTGGCAAGGACTGAGGGACTCACCGGCCATATATATCTGACTAGTCAGACTATGTGAATATATTATTATGCGAGTGCCAGTGACAGTGCGAGTAGGAGTACAAGGACATGTTAACGAGTCCAGGCAGCTGAAGCTGGCACGGCTTCAAGTGCGTCATCAATCTCTGCTTCGTCGGAAATTTTCATTCATTGACTGCGACGAGTCAGAGGGCGGTGGAAGCGGTCGGGTAGGATAGGAGTAGGGCGTGCTTGAGTGCTTTTGATTCGCGCTTTGTCTTAGCCGCATTGTGCGCCGTCTGCTGTTGGCACTTTTGGCCTCAACTTCCAGTCAATCAACAGCTCGTTGATGCTTTCATAGATTGCCACTTTAAGGACTGAATAATTTTCACTTCAACATTCGGTTAAAACCATTGCAGATTCGTGTTCACATATGATGCCCAATAGATTGATAGGTATATAAAAGATATTGAACATTGTGTGCAAGACCTCTTAATCAAAATGAAATGAGAGTCCACACTTAACAACAAATCCTTTCTTAATAAGATAAGAATATGTAGATTGAACAGTTTTTATAAAAACTCTAATCAAACATCATCCCAAATTTGTTGCATATAGTTCCCTTAAATCATTTCTAAGATTGGAAGTTATCTACAGTAACTGATGTGTCTGTGTTTTCGGTAGCAAATAAAGCAGAACATTTCGCATAACAATACAACTTGCTGGATGCCTGGCTAAAAGTTTGGCATTGCGCAAACTAAAAACATTGTACAACAAGTAAACAAAAGAAGACAACAAAAAAAACAAGGAAAATAAAATAATGTGAAAAGCGCAAAAGTGGAAAGCGCACTGGCAACTGATCAGACAGAACAGACATAAATATACAAGTTTGCATCTCGCATTGTTTGGCTACCAAATTAAAGACAAAATCAATGCCAGGAAGTTTGTCTGTGTGTTTGCTTGTGTCAGTAAGCCATGACTGCAAGCAGCGCAACAAGGTCAAAATGCCAATGTCCATAGCAGAGACATGGCCATAAAACCAAAGCCAATCAGTTTATCAGTCGATATCAGACGACAGCAAAGAAAAATGATTATGCGAACAACTGCAACTAACTGATTTGCTTGCAGTCAAAGCCAAACAAATTGGCTGGATGTTATATAAGCTTGATTCATCTGATCTGTGCTTTTCAATTTATTTTGAGAACTATATTAGTCCACCTGATTTATGTAAGTGTTGTATAACACAAATTGCGTACAGATGGAAGTTGCTTTGATTATAATTAATAATTACACCTAATTCTCTTTTACCCGAATTAGTTTTACACGAATTTCATTTAACACGAGTTCAAAAGTTAACATTTCTCTCTTTTTACACGAATTGTTTTGCTTTAACATAATTTTAAACATTCTAAGAATTCTTTTATTAATTTTTTTAAATGTTTTGTGAATTTCGTTTGTTGTCAGAAAGAGACGATAAATAATATGCTGTTATGTTTTTATATATAAAAAAAATTTTTCCATTTTTCCATTTAGCCATTATCTGTTTTTACACGATTTAATTGGGAACTTATATATCGGGTAAAAAGATAATTAGGTGTATTTTATATATATTTATATTTAGTTTGTAGATAAGTAGAACGATCTTTTGATTAAAACAAAATATCTCTATATTTCAAATTGATAACGATATAGATAGTTTAATGAAAAATTAATAATAATAATAAAAAACTTATGTTGCAAATCAATTTGTGTACAATGAACTAAAGTTAGCAACAACATTTCTGCCTGTCTTATTTTGTGATACCTAATTTAATAGTGCACGGTGGGATGTAGATATAATAAATCACATTGAAAAGCTATTTATGGAATTTAAATAAGAATTTTGGAAGAAATTTATTCCGGTATATTCGTACAAAATGACACTGTAGAGGGAGTACTTATATAAGATTACATGGGTAGTCTAATAATTCCGACTAAAAAATCTAGATAATCTTTTTGGTGGAAATGAAACACAAATCTAACTTTGTCAAATTTTATATAAATACTTATAGCTGCAATAAAAAGGCAAGAAAAGCCAAAAATAAACTTTTGCACTGAATTAAAATCTCAAGAGTAAATCATTTCTCCCATGATAATAGCCAGGAATCCATAATTTGTTTCCCCGCCTCTGCGAGCCCCGCATAATCGCAAAGATATTCAATGAGTACATCAGCGTGGCAATG